AGAGGCACGCCTGTGTGAATTAGGTCAGATTTAAAAAATAACAGCTAAATCATACCTGAGATGCTAAGAACCTAAGCGTGGGTCCTTGCGGCTGAACGTCTCAGCAGTCCGCAGTCCCACAATGCTGTTTCTTAGAGGGTGAGGGGAGGAGATAAGCGGTAGTTACTCAGTCCACAAGGCAAGACGTCTTCTGGCTCCAGGAGCCCCGAAATCTCCTGAGAGCCACTAGTCCACTGTCCCGATGAATAGTCTGGAGATGCTGGTTGTGCTGTCAGTGACTGAGCAGCAGCCGGGTCAGTTAACCCCAGACGAGAGGGAGGCCAAGCCAGCGAAAGGGGAGAGGATCTGCCTTCGGCCCAGGCCTTTTATCAGGGCTGCTAGTGGAAGGTGCCGCCCACAATCCAGGTGGGTCTTCCCACACCCATCAAGACAGTCAGGACACTTCTTCAGGTGGGGCTCCCGACTCAGGTTATTCTCATTTGTGACAAGCTGACATTAAAATCAACTATAATATTGCTGAAAGCAGCCCAGAAATTCAATGCAATCCTCAGTAAAATTCTAATGACATTCTTCACAAGAATAGAAAAAATAAAATAAAATCTCATTTGCAAGCATAAAAGACTCCAAATAACCAAAGCAGTCCTGAACAGAAAGAGAAAGAGGGATCATAGTATCTGGTCCACTCGCTACAGAGCCATAAAAAAGCTAGCCTGCTACTATCACAGAAATTAACACACACACACACACACACCAGTGGGATACAATAAAGGGACATGTCCCATTCAGCCACAACCACCTGAGTTTTGACAAAGGTTTAAAGAACATGCATGGCCAGGTGGGGTGGCACATACCTTTAATTCTAGCACTTGGGAGGCAGAGGCAGGCAGATCTCTGGGTTTGAGGCCAGCCTGGTTTACAGAGTGAGTTCCAGGACAGCCAGGACTGTACAGAGAAACCCTGTCTTGAACAAAACAAAACAGATTAATAATAATAATAATAATAATAATAATAATAATAATAATAATAGTAAAAGCATACATTGGCAGAAAAAACAGCCTTGTTAATCAGTGGTACCAACCCCCTGAATATCCACCTGTCAAAGAATGAAATTATAACCCTGAAGGGAAATCCAATCAAAACTTATCAATGACATTAATGTAGGGTTCCAAACTTTGAAACTCCTAGAGGACAACATGGGCAGAACACTAAGACATGGCACAGGCAAGGACTTCCTCACAGGACTCTGGAAGGGGCAGTTGATGGCTCCGTGGTTTCGAGCACTGGTTGCTCTTCCAGAGAACCTGGGTTTGATTCCCAGCACCCACATGGCAGCTTGTAACTGTCTGTAACTCCACTTCCAGAGAATCTCTCATTCTCCTCTGGTTTCCATGAGTGGCACCAGCGGCATGCAAGTGG